GGCCCGCGCCTTCACCCCCCCCCTTTTGGGTCACCTCCCATTGTGGAGCAGGGACCGACTGTCCCGGCATTCCTATAGTCATATACCCTGCGAAATGCTTTAGAAATCATGGGTTAAGAAATTCATAGTCTCAGAATTTGAATAAAAACCCAGAATGTCTATTCAAATCTTGGGATTTTCATTGAACATTAAGAATCATCGAGACTCTGGCCGAAAACTTGGGTTTTCTTGAGCATCGCCTAGAGTGTATACCACACGAAATGTTCTTAGAACCCCAAGAATGTTCTGAGAACAAAAACCATGTTCTTAGAGCACAAGCCCCATGTGTTAAGACAAGGCAGTCTCCGCCAGAACTGTTCTAGGAACATTTCGTGGCAACCACAAAAGGTTCTTAGGACATTGTTGGGTAGGGCTATAGACGAGCCAGGACGCTTCGCCACTGCTTGACATTGCCACCCGCCCGAGCTCCTCGGCCTCCCGCTGCCGCTTCATCTCGAGGCCCGTGCGCTTGTCGATGAGGTACAGGTTCGCCTGGCCCGAGCCCGCGGTGTCCAGGTACTCGAAGAGGTGGTGCTCGTTGCCCTTCCACTGGCACTCGTAGCAGAGCGCGAGGAACTCCCTCTTGCTGACCAGGAAGTCTTGGTTCTTGTCCGCGATCTCCAGGCCTGCCCTCACGGAGCCGTACCTGGAAGCCAAGGATTTCTTGAAGCCGTTCAGAGCTGTCGCCATGCTGGGATCGAACTGCAGGAACGTTATCTCGGTGTCGTTTGGGCCCATGCCCTCCCAAGCTTTTGTCGCGTCCTCTCTGGCGATGCCCTCCTTCTCGCACGCCCTGACGAAATGGTGGACGTCGACAAACCTCTCGCCCGCCGTGTTCAAGGACTTGCGCCATGCGCTGACCAGAGTCCCTGGGGAAACCAAGAGGTACCGATACCGCTACTCCCTGGACCTCTCCCGGGGTGCGTCCGGACCAGAATCTCGAGGCGAATCCAGCGGTGGCGACGAGGGCCTCCCAGGAGGCCCCCCACAGGGGAAAGCGGGCGGAGGCTAGGCGGTACCATGGGGGAGGAGGAGGAGGAGGAGGAGGAGGAGGAGGAGGAGGAGGAGGAGGAGGAGGTTTTCCTCCTCCGAGCGCCATACTTGCGGGACAGCTTCGCCTTCAGGGCGTTCGCCGCCCTGCTCCTCGCCTCCGCCGCCCGCCTCTCGGCGCAGGCCTCCACGCCCACCCGGACGCCCACCGGCGGCGGCGCCGGGAACGGGCTCCGGCCCTTCTCCTCGTCCTGCTCCCGCCTGGCATCCTCGAGCTCCTGGCGCCTCTCGGAAGCTGGGCGAGGGCTGCTAACTTAAGTCGTGGCTGCTCCAACGGCCCTCCCGGACGGAAAAAAAACAGCTTCCCGGAAGGAGGCGCGGCACGCGGAACAGTCCACGGGCGTCTTCTTCCCGGAAGGACGAAGACAGCTTCCCGGAGGTCGATATTAGCAGCCACGGATCTAGCAGCCCTTGCCCGGCTTCCGAGCCTCTCTGCAGCCTCCCGGCACTTCTCCGCCGCGCCCTCGTCGATGTCCTCCAGGCTGACGTGCCCGACGTCCCGCGCGTCCAGGTAGTCCAGCAGGCGCCGGAGGCGGTTGCTGCAGTTCAGCTCCACGCACCAGCGCCGGAAGAACTCGGAGCGGATCGTGCCGGTGCCGTCCGGATCGACCGCCTCGAAGGCCTGCAGGGAAGCCCGGAGATGCCGATGCCGCTGCTCCCCGGACCTCTCCCGGGGTGCGTCCGGACCGGAATTGCGAAGCGAATAGCAGCGGGGACGACGAGGGCCTACGAGCCGCGAGAAGGCTACGTCGGGGCAACCCAGACCCCCGACGTAATGATTTTTTCGTTACGTCGACCCCCAGTGGTCCCGACCCTTTCCCCATGACCGGCTTTGCATCCTGAGTCGTTTTTTGACGCTCCCGAGGCCCAGTGAGGGCCCCCGGAGGCCGAAAAGTAGGAAAAACCTCCCGTCATGATTTTTTCATTACTCGAGGGGGTCTGGGAAGGGGCAAGGGCGGCGGTGTCGGCAGCTTTGCCGCCTGGAGTGCCTGGGCCACCCCCCCGTACCGCAGCTGGCAGTGCTCCTTGAGCTCCTCGAGCGCGGTCTTGGTCTCGGGGTCCAGGTCGCGCAGGGAGACGAGCCGCTCGGCGCCCTCGCCCTTGGCGCCCTTCTCCTCGTGGGCCAGGGCCTGGATGGGGGATCGTTGCCGCGGGTTCATGTCGTGTCGACCCCAGCGTTGGTTCCTGACACTGCGGGGACCGTTCCGCCTTGTACGATCGCCCGTGTCCGAAACGTCAGATCGTCCAACCTCGACCGATTCTGGATCGCCGGCGGCGTGCGAGGCGGAACGCCGGCGTTCGGGTTCGGGGCCGCCGGTCGACACGGCGCGGGCCTACCGCAGGAGGGGGCAACGGCTCAGACGCCCCCAGGCGCCTCTGGGCGAGGCGCAGCTTCGAAATCCATCCCGAGGCAGGAACACCTCCATCGGCGGTGGACAAGCCTCCCTTTAGTAAACCACCCTTTAGTGAAAACGGCCTGGAACCAAAATCGACGGGCCTGGACCCGCAAAAACGATGGCCGCGACGCCCTCTCGCGAGCTAAAAACGTCCAATTCACTAATCGACGTGTCAGGGTAGGAGGTCTATCAATCTCCGACTCCAAGAACCGACGAAGCTCCTCCGAGGCCCCCCTCGAGGGCTCTGGCGAGGAGGAGGAGGAGGAGGAGGAGGAGGAGGAGGAGGAGGAGGAGGAGGGGGAGGAGGAGGAGGGGGAGGAGGAGGAGGAGGAGGAGGAGGAGAGGAGGGAGGAGACCCTCGAGGGCCCTGGCGAGCAGCCAGAGTCCTTGGGCCTCGGGGCTGCCCTGGCTCTCCTCTGGGGGGAGGGGGGGGGGGGGGGGCGCTGCGGGGGCACTCGCTCTCAAGGTGGGCAGCATCGACCTGGCTCGAGGGGGAGCCCTTCTCCCCCCTCCTCCCCCTCTCCCCCCTCCCTCCCCCCCCCTCCCCCCTCCCCCTCCCCCCCTCCCCCTCCCTCTGCCCCTCCCCCTCCCCCCTCCCCCTCCCCCTCCTCCTCCTCCTCTCCTCCTCCTCCTCCTCCCTCCTCCTCCTCGACCTGGAATCGCCGATACATCGCCGATGCATCGGCGCGCTGGAAGGTCCCCCGGCGTTTTTTTTTTTTTTTTGGGGGGGGGGGGTGGGGGGCAAAAAAAGAAAAAAAAGAAAATCCCACCAGCTCTCTGGGCGTCGGTGGTTCAGGGAGTTTCCTCTTCCCCCCCCCCTTCCTCTCCCCCCCCTCCGATCGTCGTCGCCCCGCGTTCGGGCCCCGCGTTCGGGCCCCTCGTCGGCCCGGCGGCTGCCCCGGGGAAGGTCCAGGGCACCCCCTCGGGGAAGGTCCTTGGGGAGGAGGAGGAGGAGGAGGAGGAGGAGGAGGAGGAGGAGGAGGAGGTCAACGCCCCAACTGTAGCACGAGGCCCTGCGGGGGCAGGTGCGGCGTCGTGGCGGCACGCCCCTCGGCGAGGCGCGGCTGTGACGGAGAGCCCCCCCGCGGCCTGGAAGAGGTCCGTCCCTCTCTCGAAGTCCTCGTCGGAGCACTGCCGCTCGGGGGGCAGGAAGCCGACCTGCGACAGGGCCTCCACGAACTCCTTCTCGTCGAGGTCGCCGAAGTCCTCCGGGTCGAGCCCGAGGCGCCACGCCTTGGCGACGCTGCCGAACTGCTCGCGCAGCCACGAGAGGAACTCCTCCTTGACGGACTTGCCCCTGCCAGTGGGACGCACACGGACATACTAATACTGTGTGTCCTGCTCGGAGGAGTGCGTCCGACCCGAACACATGGCACTAACATCTTGTAGTAGATCGTTTCCCAAGCGGCATGGCCAGAAAGCGCGGAGCTTATACTACCTATACGACCACCCTTCGGGTGATAAGGAGGTTCGGGGGGGACGAGGAACCCACGTCTCAAACGATCGGTCGCACTCTCGATCTCACTATCGATCTCACTATCGGTCTCGCTCGATCGATCTCACTCGATCGATCTCACAATCGATCTCACTCGATCTATTTCATTCGATCAATCTCACAATCAATCTGCCTATCGATCTCGCAATCAATCTCACTATCGATCTCACATTCGGTCTCACTATCGATCTCACTATCGATATCACAATCGATCTCACAATCAACGTCACCATCATGAAAATCATCGTCATCAACGTCATCAACATCATCATCATCGAGACAAAATCATCATTACCTCATCACCATCATCATCAACATCATCATCACCATCCTCATCCTCATCCTCATCCTCCTCCTCCGCATCATCATCATCATCATCGGGACACCATCATCGTCACCATCATCATCAACATCATTATCATCGGGACACCATCATCATCATCATCATCATCGGAGCACCACCATCATCATCATCATCATCATCCTCGCATCATCATCATCATGAACAACATCATCAACATCATCATCATCGGGACACCATCATCATCAGCAACATCATCATCATCGGGACACCATCATCATCATAACCATCATCATCATCACCATCATCTTCATCATCGGGACACCATCATCATCATCACCACCATCAACTTCAGCATCACCATCATCACCATCATCGGGCCACCATCATCAAAATCATCATCATCATCACCTCATCATCATCATCATCAACATCATCATTATCGGGACACCATCATCGTCATCGTCATCATCATCAGCATCACCATCATCGAGACACCATCATCATCACCATCATCATCAACAGCATCATCATCAACCTCATCATCATCACCATCATCGGGGCACCATCCTCATCATCATCTTCATCATCATCATCATCATCATCATCATCTCATCATCATGCCACCATCATCAAAATATCATCAGGATCATCAACATCATCATCATCCTCATCATCGGGACACCATCGAAATCATCATTACCATCATCATCAACATCATCGGGGCACCATCATCACCACCATCACCATCACCATCACCATCATCATCATCAACATCGTCAACATCATCATCATCGGGACACTATCCTCATCACCATCACCATCACCATCACCATCACCATCACCATCACCATCACCATCATCCATCACCATCACCATCACCATCATCATCATCATCATCATCATCATCATCATCATCATCATCATCATCATCATCATCATCATCATCATCATCATCATCATCATCATCATCATCATCATCATCGGGACCCCGACGGGACACCGGCGGGACACCGGCGGGACACCGCGCGCCACCCGACGCCGGAAGGGAGACTTTTGGTCCGGCCGCACCTCAGCCACAGCGGGACACAGGCGGGACACCGCGCGCGACCGGACGCCGGAAGGGAGACTTTTGGTCCGACCGCGCCTCAGCCACAGGAGACTCCTCTTCTCGCCCGCCCACGCAGCTTCGCCTCGCCCGCACGGCACGCACGAACACGAAACCGAAACCGATTTCCCGGTAGGGGGGCCTCTCCGTTCCACTTCGATCTCACCCCCTCACCTCCGATAAGATGGATAGGCGCGCGCGTCGCCCCTGGGGGGGGTGCGACGCACACATAGTATAAGTATGTTGGGGTGGCACCGATGCCAATGGGACGAGTGATGGGCCTGTTTTCCACCACCACCACCACCATAAGTTGGAGGGGGGAAGGAAGTGGAGGATGAAGAGGAGGAGGAGGAGGAGGAGGAGGAGGAGGAGGTTGAAGCCCAAGGTCGCTGCATGCGCCCTCCCCGCGATCTGGGCGTTGCCAGTGGTGTCGCGCCAGGCGTCTTCGCGCGGTGTCGGGCCCGTGGACCACCACGGGTCGAGCCAGGTCGAAAATGCAGCAGCACGACGGCCCTGACTCCAGATCCGCCCTTCTTGGGCTCACTGCTGCTCCAGGACCACGAGGCGGACGACGAGGCTCACTGGGAGGACGATGAGGATCCCTGGCGATGTCCGTAACATTTCTCGGGCGTGCTCGTCAGTGCTCGGCGGTCTTCCAGCCGCGAGGTGCTCTCGGGCAGCTGTGCCTCGCCGAGGGGCCTGCGGGGGGCCCCGATCCTCTCGAACGGCCACCAGAGACTCATCGAGCGATCATCCACCAACCCGGACGGCGAGGAGGAGGAGGAGGAGGAGGAGGAGGCGGAGGAGGAGGAGGGGGAGGAGGAGGAGGAGGAGGAGGAGGAGGAGGAGGAGGAGGAGGAGGAGGAGGGGGAGGAGGAGGAGGAGGAGGAGGAGGGGGGGACGACCACCAGGGACTCCTCGAGCGATGATCCACCAGCCCGGACGGCGAGGCTCGCTGCCGCCCCAGGACCACGAGGCGGAGGACGAGGCTCCCTGTTGGCGACAGGCTCCGGAGGGACGCGTCGGCCCCCGGAACGCCCACGAAACGCCGAGGGGAGCCCGATAATTGGCGCACCCCGCCCCGGCGCGCGCAGTGTCGCCGCCGGGAGCCCATTGCCGAGGCATCGGCGATGCATCGGCGATTCCAGGCCGATGCTTCCCCCCTCCCTGACTCCAGATCCGCCCTACTTTGGCTTCTTTTTCCAACTGAGGACTGCGTCGGGGATCCACCTGTAAGAAGCTGGACAAGTAGGGCGGCATTTTCTGCACCCAACATATAAAGTAGGGCGGAAATCCACAGAAGCAGGGCGGAAACAGCAACAGAAAAGTAGGGCGGTAATTGGCATCAGCGGGGCTCGAAAAGTAAGGCGGAAATTCCAAGCCCTACCTACGAACTTCCCCAAAGCGGGGCGGATCCGGAGTCAGGGAGGTTCTAGGACTCCGGTCGTGAATCGTCGCGATGTTGTAGTTGTTCGCAGCGTCGGTCGTGAATCGTCGCGATGTTGCAGTTGTTCGCAGCGTCGGATCTCAGTGTACACCGATCGTGTGAGGGGCAACGATAGGAGGGGACTGGCGTAGGGGGGGATGCATCGACCTGGAGTCGGCGGTACACCCTGCGAAATGCTTAAGAAATCATGGGTTAAGAAATTCAGAGTCTCAGAACTTGAGTAAAAACCCAACATTTCTTTTAACATCTTAATGTTTTCATTGACACGTTAAGAATCATCGAGACTCTGGCCGAAACCTTAAGTTTTCTTAAGCATCGCCTAAGGTGTACATCGCCGATAGATCGGCGACGGGCCTCCGACAGTGCAGTCCGCACCTTCCTGGGCAGGTTGGGGCGCTATCGGGCCCCTGTCGGCGACCAGTGTGCGATTGGGGGATCGTTACCAGCCCGGAACATCCCGGATCCGCCCTACTTTGGGGAAATTCGTAAATAGGGCTTGGAATTTCCGCCTTACTTTTCAAGCCCCGCTGATGCCAATTTCCGCCCTACTTTTCTGTTGCTGTTTCCGCCCTACTTCTGTGGATTTCCGCCCTACTTTATATGTTGGGTGCAGAAAATGCCGCCCTACTTTTCCGGCTTCTTACAGGTGGATTCCCGACGCAATTTTAAGTTGGGAAAAAAGCCAAATTAGGGCGGATCTGGACTCAGGGATCCCTATGTTGGGCATCGCCTCATCACGATGCCGATCTTAGGGATGTCCTCGGTTTCTGAGGGTGCATCCCTAAGATTGTCATCGCCTTTTGGCGTGTCAATCTTAGGAATAGGGATGAGTTCGAGGCTGGTGAGATCGATGCATCCCCCCCTTACGCCTATCCCCCCCTATCGTTGTCCCCTATCGCTGGGCAGGCCCATGCTGAGCTCAGGATCGGTGCGCGCGCCCTCCTGGCATGGCCAGGGAGGCATGCGCACCGATCCCGAGCCCAGGGTGGGCCTGGACAGGATCGGCGCACGTGCATGCTCAGGCGAAGCCAGCACGAGGATTATGTTGTTCCCGTCCTACTTAAGGACCGCATCCCAGACATAATTTCGAGCACCCAGAAAAGTGTCAAAAGGATGACGAAACAGTGTCGAAACAGTGTCTCCCATTGCCCGGCACGTGATAACCCTCGAGTTTCGGTACTTTTTTGGGCGCTCGAAACTCTTCCTGGTGATCAAGACTAAAGTAGGTTGGAGCATCATTGCACGAGGCAAAATCGGGTGAGGATACATCGAGAACCTCTGAGATCCGGCGGCTCTGGAGGATGTCTCGTGCGCCGCGGCCTTCTCAGAGCGCTCCGGAACGCTCTGAGAGCGTCCCGGAATGCTCTGCGACGATGTACGCGTCGGTCGGAAGAAGTAGGTAAAAACATGAAGTAGGAAGGCGGATCAAGTGGATTGCGTCCAGGCCCTCCCAGAGAACAACAAAACACAGCCAAACCATGCCGATTCTTGAAGCAGGAAGGCGCTTAAAACAGATTGGGATCTGGGGATCCAAAAATACCTACTTTCAACGACCGGCGTGTGCCCTGGCCCGCCTGAGACGGGGTCCCCAAAAGTGCCGACCCTTTCCCCAAGGGCTGGTGCTTCATTGCGAACCGTCTCTTGACTCGGGAGCGGCCAAGAGGGGGGTGTCCAAGAGGGGGGGGTGCAAATCATGACCGGCGGCATGTGCGCGGCCCAGCGGGGGGGCCTGGGACGTGATGAAATAAGAAGGGGCGCCATGAAATCTGAGGAAAATCATGGCCCGCGCCATGAAATCCACCCCCCCCTAGTCATCACCCCCCTCTTTTCCGCTCCCGATTGACGGTCCCGGGTCCCGACGAGGGCCGGGGAGGCCGCAAACGGCCAAAAACCCTCCCGTCGCGATCTTCTCTACAGCAGCAGACATGATCAAGAAAATCATGATTGAAGAAACCTGGGCCAGCTCTCGGGAGGTTTTTTAGGCCAAGCCTGGGCCGAGCGTTCGCCTTAATTACGCTGGAGGGGCGAACGCGCTGAAAAGAATGGCACAGCTTTTTCCGGCAAACGAATTCAGAAGCGCTAATTAGCCCAACTTTTCGAGAGGAGATATGTTACTACTCGAATGCTCCGCTATATACGACGCGAGCGTGTCTGGAGAGTTCTCTCCACCCCGACCTGCCAGCCGCCGCCCGCTTCCTGCGGGCGGAGCGCCTCAGCTCGTCCTGCCCGGCCGCCACGTCGGCCGCCGACGGCAGCCGCGTCCCCTGCGCCCTCTTGTGGCGGTGGCGCCGTCGGCTCTCTGCGTGCTTCGCGAGCAGCCGCGGCAGGGCCTTCTCCTCCGGAAGAGCATCGCAACGGCACAGCTCTTGCAGGGACATGGACAGGAATGGCGCCACGGAGGAGGGGGAGGAGGGGGAGGAGGCGGAGGAGGAGGGGGAGGAGGAGGAGGAGGAGGAGGAGGAGGAGGAGGAGGAGGAGGAGGGGAGGAGGAGAGGAGGAGGAGGAGGAGGAGGAGGAGGAGGAGGGGAGGAGGAGGAGGGGGGGGGACGGGGAGGAGGCCAGAGGAAAGCCAGGCTCGCCCCAGGGCCAATGCGCCGGGCGGCCCTCTCGGCAGCACCGAGGGCCCCGGGGAGGGTGCCCCGACTGACACGGCCCGGGGAGCGACGCCGGACGCCCCCCTCCCGGCGGGCGCAGGCGCGCCAGGGGCGGCGCGGGTGGCGCCGCCAGAGGGGCCCCAGGCGCCGACCCGAGAAATCCGCGCGGCCCTCCAACACAGATCGTTTTTTCTCTCGGTGCTGCGGGGCTCAGGCAGGGGAACAAGAAGTGGCATAAAAAGAAAAACTCGGAGGTCCGCGCGGATTTCTCGGATCCGCGCTGGACCCCCCCTGGCGGCGCCTCCGGCGCCGCCCCTGGCGCGCTCCGCGCGCGAGGGAGGGGGGTCCAGCGCCAGTCCGAGAAATCCGCGCAGACCTCCGAGTTTTTATATGTTTATGCCATTCTTCGCTCCCCTACTCTCGGTGCTGCGGGGCTCAGGGTGGGATCAGCATGGACGTCTGCACCTCGAGAGTCCATCCGTTTCAGGCCTGGTGACGTGCAGGATGAACCGCATGCGAGTGGTGCACGGGCATGCGTGCGCGCAGCGTCGTGCTTCCGCTACTGCGCCATCGCGGCCTCTGTCATGGAGATAAAATGTGAAGTGTTTCCGTGGTCATGCGGGCCCCTCCCATGGTCTGGGAGCGATCGCGCGGTGTCCTCCAAGCACGCGACTGGCGCCCGACAAGTGAACGAGCACGCGACTAGCGCTCGACCAGTGAGCGAGCACGCGAGATGCGCACGACAGGTGAATCCAGAATTCCAGAATCGTGCTCGCATTCCTAAAGATAATTGTCCGTCTTAGAACTGGTTTGGGCGTTCTAGAACTATGTTGTATATGCGCTTGATACTATATGGTATTCTGGAAGCTCGTCTTGCGTGCTATACTGAGTTTCTGCTGCTGCTCGAACGCATGCAGCCCTTCTAGGATGTTGTCCCGTGCTGTAAAACTCGTTTCGCCATTCAGAGCATCTCGTAGCGGTTCGGCAAGAAACGCGTGCAAATGATGCATGCCGGCGGTCGAGCTTCCCGGGGACGCCCGAAAAACGGGCAAGGGAACCATGGGCACAATGCCCAACAGCAAATGTTGTCCCGAACCAACAGCGGCCGCTACTGGGCAGCCGGCCTTCTGCCTCACATGGACACAGAGCCGCGGCGGCGTGGACAGCGAGGCCTGTTCAAAGGGAACAAGATCCGCTGTCGGGCCTTCTACCCATGCTTTCCGTGCCCATTTCGCTCGTGCAGATCTCTGAGTGCGGCGGGAGACGGCCTTGGTGGGGGGCCCGAGCTGGCCCCTCCCGCAAGCGGGGGAGCTGCGCCCGCTCGGCGCGGGCCTGCGTCGGCGCAGCGAGTCTCGCTTACCCCCCCGCCGCCGCAACTCGGCCGCGGCGGTGCCGTGAAGAAGAGCGGATGGGTGGCAATGCTTTCGGCCAAACGGCACGTCGGATTCCTCCCTGCGTCTGCCCTCCACCCAGAAGAGATGCTCGGCTACGAGCGACGGCCATGCCGTTTCTTGTCACCCGCTCCTCGGACGTGGACTCGCAGAGGGAGCGCAGGACCTTCGTGTCGACCGCCCCGCCGCCCTCGAGGTCGAGGCAGGCGAAGAGCTTGTCGACGTCTTCCTCGGGGGGGCGCAAAGAGAGGGTTGGGGCAGAGGTGGGGTCGGAGGGAAAATCGCTCCAGACGGCTCCTGGAAGAAGGGAACGCGTTATACGGGAGCAGCCAGCGTTGAGCAGGGACCAACCGTCCCGGCATTCCTGTAGTCCTACCACGACATGTTCTTAGAACCCAACAATGTTCTGATAACAAAGACTATGTTCTTAGAACATGAACCCGATGTGATAAAACAAAACAGACTCCGCCAGAATGTTCCGAGAATATCTCGTGGAAGCCACAAAAGGATCTTAGGACTTTGCTTGGCAGGGCTAAAGGCGAGTCGGGACGCTTCGCCACTCCTCCTCCTCCTCCTCCTCCTCCTCCTCCTCCTCCTCCTCCATGCCCCTCCTCGTCCTCCTCCTCCTCCTCCTCTTCTCCTCCTCCTCCTCCTCCTTCTCCTCCTCCTCCTTTCTCCTCTCCTCCTCCTCCTCCCCCTCCTCCCTGCTTCTTCCTCCTCCTCCTCCTCCTCCTCCTCCTCCTCCTCCTCTCCCTCCTCCTCCCTGCTTCCTCGTAGTCCACGCTGACGCAGAACTCTCGGAACTTGTCCCTGCCGACCCTGACGCCATGCTGCGACGCCCGCTTCGGGTCCTTCGCCTCGCCCTCCATCACCGCACACCAGTCCGCCAGCTTATTTTTGGCCACTTCCTTCGAGGGGGAGTGACATGGGGGGGGACTGGCACAGGGGAGGATGGAGGAGGAGGAGGAGGAGGAGGAGGAGGAGGAGGAGGAGAAGAGGAGGAGGGAGGAGGAGGGAGGAGGAGGAGGAGGAGGAGGAGGAGGAGGAGGAGGAGGGAAGGAGAGGAGGAGGAGGAGGAGGAGGAGGAGGAGGAGGAGGAGGATGGAGGAGGAGTGGAGGAGGAGGGAGGAGGGAGGAGGAGGAGGAGGAGGAGGAGGAGGAGGAGGAGGAGGAGGGGAGGAGGAGGAGAGAGGAGGAGGAGGAGGAGGAGGAGGAGGAGGAGGAGGAGGGGAAACACTGCCATGGATGGTGGGCGGAAGACATCTCGGCATCCACGACCTCGCCGGCCGCCGCCCCGTGGATACGGGGCACCTGTTCGTGGATGACTCGCGCGGAACGTATCCATTCGACCGCGTACCCTCTGCATCATGATGAGCCTGTTTTCCACCACCACCACCATAAGTCGGAGGGGGGAATGAGGAGGAGGGCGAGGAGGAGGAGGACGAGGAGGAGGAGACGAAGAGGAGGAGGAAGGACGAAGAGGAGGAGGAGGAGGAGGAGGAGGAGGAGGAGGAGGAGGAGGAGGAGGAGGAGGAGGAGGAGGAGGAGGGGAGGAGGGAGAGGAGGAGGGGAGGAGGAGGAGGAGGAGGAGGAGGAGGAGGAGGAGGAGGAGGAGGAGGAGGAGGAGGAGGAGGGAGGAGGAGGAGGGACCCCCCCCTCCAACTTATGGTGGTGGTGGGTGGCGGAAAACACGCCCATCAGATCACGCCCCGGGATCCGGACCGCGAGGGGCCGTGGACATGGACAGGCCGTTACAAGCGGGGCATTTGGGGACTCCCAGGCTCCAACCTGCTTCGAGCGCGCCTTCCTGCTTCAGCGATCGAGTGGCTTAAGCTTTCCCGTCCTCCTCCACTCCCAACGCCTCCAACAATAAGGGGGGGGAACAATAAGGGGAGGAGGAGGAGGAGGAGGAGAGGAGGAGGAGAGGAGGAGGAGGAGGAGGAGGAGGAGAGAGGAGGAGGAGGAGGAGGGGGAGGAGGAGGAGGAGGAGGAGGAGGAGGAGGAGGAGGAGGAGGAGGAGGAGGAGGAGCGGGAGGAGCGGGAGGAGCGGGAGGGCGAGGGGTGCGCTCGCCGCCCGTGACGGGGAATCCTCGACGCACCGCCGAGCGATCGGCCACGCGGGCCCCCGCCTGGCGCCGCGGCACGCTCCCCTGGGCAGGCCAGGGGGCCACGGGGCCCCGACCCCGGCCGTCGCTCGGGCGCCCCTTCCCCGCGCGATCAGTCGGCCTCGTGCGTGTTTTTTTTTGGGGGGGGGGCTCGGTGATCCAGGAGGCTCCTCGATGGTCGTCGTCGTCGTCGTCGTCGTCGTCGTCGTCGTCGTCGTCGTCGTCGTCGTCGTCGTCGTCGTCGAGAAAAACGAGCACACGCCCGAGCGATGCCAAGGACCGGCGATCGATCGGCGCCGGGGGGGGGGGGGAGGGGGGGGGGGGGGCCGCTGCCCCTCCCGCCCCCGCGCCTCGTCGCCCACCCGGAGCGGCACAGCTCGGCCCGGCGGCGGCCGCGCGGGACGACCTGGGCGATCCCCCGACGCCTCTCGGCGGGGCGCGGCTGCTGGAGAGCACCCCGAGGCCGGGGGACCGCCGAGAACCTTGCCGTCGCTCGGACGTCCATTTCCAGTGCATTTTTCGGTTTCGTGCGTGTTTTTTTTCGCTCGATGGTCCAGGAGGTTCCTCAAGGGTCCTCGCCGAGGAACAAAAAATACACACGTCCGAGCGATGCCAGGGAACCGGTGGCAACGCACGAAAACCTCGAGCCTCGAACTTGCGCTGCCCTCGACGTGGGCCCGCACCTCGAGCTGACGCTGCCCCCCTGCCGCTGGGGGCACAAGCCCGTGCTGGCGCTGCTGCTCCGCGGGCCTCTCCCGAGGAGGAGGCGCGCTCCGACCAGAACTCCGAGGCGACGCCGGCCGTGGCGACGAGGAGCCCTCCAGGATGCGCAGCGACGTCGCTTCCCGATGCCTCGGCGATGCGGCGTGCTTCTCCGGCTCCTCCTCCTCCCCCTCCTCCTTCTCCTCCTCCTCCTCCTCCTCCTCCTCCTCCTCCTCCCCCTCCTCCTCCTCCTCCTCCTCCCCCTCCTCCTCCTCCTCCTCCTCCCCCTCCTCCTCCGCCCTTGCCCCGGATCCTTGAAGGCCTTGGTCGCCTCCACCAGCTCGGGCGCGAGGTCCCGGAACCTGACCGGCGCGCCCTCCGCCAGCTGCAGCTCCGCGCACAGGGCGGACTGGCCGCCGTGGAACCCGACGGCCGCGCAGCCCTCGAAGAAGGTCTCGCGGCTGATCTTCCCCGCGCCCTGTTCGGCGGGCGCTCGGCGGGGGGTGGCGAAGAGGTGAAGATGGGGGGGGGAGGGGCGAGGAGGAGGAGGAGGAGGAGGGAAGAGGAGGAGGAGGAGGGA